CCTATCATTCTCTTTATTTTTCACAGTTTTAAAAATAGCTAGATTATAAAACAGTAAAAGTACATTCCAATAAATAGGGTAAGAATCCTATATGTGTTCTCCTCCTCTCCCCTCACTGAAAATAGAATAAGGACTAGGAGAAGGTATCAGAAAATATCTTCAAGGGCAACTCCTTAGGAGAAAAAAAAAAAAAAAAAAAAAAGTCGTAAGTGTGACAAAAGAAAATGTCGTGTAAAAATACTAATATATGATACATATGAGTAAACCAGGCAAGGTGTAGAAAGGTGAATTACCTCTTAGAAAACAAATCTGCACAATAGTTTGGATACATGTTAACTAATACCAGCTGAGCAAGAGGGTGAGTCTAACATTTATCCTTCCACAGAGAGACCTTTTCTTTCATTTGCTTAGATTATTCAATCTATGAGATTGAAATGAAGTCTTATGAGAAAGAAATGATAATAGTCCTAAAAAGTATCAATTTTACTACAAGAAGATATATACTAGCACATTTCTGAGACCCATAACATAACAAGAAATACTTTTAAGTGTAAAAAGTATCTTCCAGACCTTAGTGCTTATAGATCATCTTTCTTTGAATTAGGGATACTGTCAATCCTGCTCAAGAAAGCAGAAACTTTTTGAGAATCTGAATGTGTAGTACAAACTTCTCCTTTAAAATATTCAGTTTGATTTTTAAAGATATTTGTGTAAAATAATACTCTCTAACACTTTGTTGTTGTGCCTCCACCAACAAAATATGTTTGAAAAACAGAATAAAAGCAAATATTCAATGGCAAATCATGGTCTATTTCTCAAATCTCTTCCCTATTTAGAAGGCAAAACCAGACATATCCAATTGCTATAAAGTGCTTAAAGTCTAAACAAGCTAACGATATGTGTTCCTAATGAATTTCTTCTGATGATAACAACACACAAATAGTATCCATTCAATCATTTTATGAATGCAACGACTTAAAATAATTAAAATCAAATACTGAAATAATGAGTCATTACAGCATTGCCATGTGCTCAATAAAGTCTGTGAAGCTTGTGTGCATGTTTTAAATAAGCAAATTTATTATTATATAATATCTAATTGTTTGACTATGTTTTTGAATGTTCATCGTTAAAACATATGAATGTTTATCATACAATGTAAAAGTGTCAAGAAAAAGCCTCATGTGTAAAAACAATTATCATTTTTTTAAACTTATGAATGATGTGATATTAGCATTAATTAGTATTTTAGTCATATGGGACCGTATTGAGCTGTAAAATATGTTTAGCCCTCAAATTTAATGTCATCAGCCACTGCCAAAGTATTTTACATTTGAAAAACATAACTCCTGGCCTTCACATATTAGAAAAATTTAGTAGAATTTTCTAAGGCATTATTTCTAAGGAAAAATACTGGCCTTGTCAATTGTTTTGTTGGTTTGGTTTGGCTTCTGTAAATATATTTATTGTTGTATTGCTTACCGAACACTTCCCTTCTAGTGTCACAGAAATACTCAAAGTTCAGACAGTATTTTTTCAATGTTTTTCAGGAAAAACTGGCATCATTCGCTCACTACTCTTGGCTCTGAAACTGAGACCTATAGGCAGGATTGTTTAAGTTCAAAAATTTAAACAATAATAATAAAACAAGAGTGAAATATGAGAGAAGATTTTCACCCCTTTGCATTTTGACAGTAAGAATTATACAATAATGCACAGAATCAAATTCAGTGGGATTCATTTTAAATAGTCATGCCAGTATTTCCATATTTGCTAAGGTTTGAAAGAATCTGCCTTCAAAATTAACTCTACCCTTTGTTTATAAGTTCAGTGTAAATCTTTCCATTGTTTGAAGGCAAACTCAGACTACTAGGCAGATGCTTAAAATAGCCCAGGATTTTTAGATTTAGAGCAGCATCAGAAAAATTCAAAATTCATTTAAAGAAATAGGAAAGAATCAAAAAGCTTACATATTTTAAGAATTCTCTTTAAAAAAGAACACACACATTAAGTCAAAAATAAACATTGCTTACTATTTTGCATCTGGACAAATTACAAGACATTGAAATTATCTGTATGGGAAAATATTAAAGTGGACATAATTGTTACAGAATCCACCCTCATACTTTGTTATATTTTAGCAAGTTCAGTATACTGCTGCATTATTCCATCTTCTAACTTCATGATGGTGACATTTCTGACCTAACAGCTGAATTCATGTCCTTTTCCAGATACTGCCAATGTGTAAGAAACAGAGAACTGAGCAAATTCAGAGTGACCCTAACCCTTACAAAGCACATAAAGAATACCAAGAAGCTTGGTATCAAATCTATGAAATATAAAATAAATGTGAAAAATAAATGCTGACCAGCTCAACATTTGAATTTAGTTTTTGCTAATGCAAAATTCCCTCTGGAAATTTCTGATTCGTACCTGATAAACTATTTCATCAAATAGAAAAGCAGGAGAATTAGTAAAATTTCTCACACTTCTAAAAGTAACAATTTCCTACTTATCATTGATAATGTGTCAAACGTTAAGGAAATCCAGCATAACATGGACCATGTAGAACAATAAGGTTGGACTAAGTTCTCTTAGGGGCAAGCAGGGATAGAGAATAAAATTCAATAGGGCTGTACAAGTTCATTAGTTTTGTGTTTTAATATATACACATAGGTAAAAATTTCTGTGTAGATAAGAAGTAAATGTATATGAAGTTTGTAGCTAGTGAATAAAGTATTTACAAGTTGTGGTAATTATACTAAATATGTTTAATATATTTACATCCTTTGCATATGTGGTAACGTGTGACAGATTTAATTTCTACTTTTTCCTTAAAAACATTAAAAATAATATTAAAAGTAAAAGGAGTCTTACTATTTTCCTATTGACTAGTCAAATATATGTTACGAAGCATCCTCTCTTTGTTAAACACACTCACCCAACCATTCCTCCAAACCTACATGTGCTTTCTTGCTTATTTTTTCTCATAGAAATGTCTAATTTTCCTAAGTTACTGATTCAAAAATAAACATTTATGGGGACAAAATACTTAAAAAATTAAATAAGAAATTCTGCCTAGAGATCTGGTGAATTGGATGGGAGATCCAAAAGTGCATGTAGCTGAGTAATGAAGCATTGAATTTTAGAGTCAACTGATGTGAATTAAAACTAGATTGTCATAAACTTAAGATGTTAAAATATTTCCATGCAACTGCAAATAAAATGTCTTTAAAAATAATACGAAAAATGAAACGAAAGGCACACAAAATGGTGTAACTACAAAAAATAAATTGAATACAAAAGGAGTCAATAATAGAGGAAATCAGAAACAAAAATGGCCTAAGGCAGCAGAAAACAATTGCAAAATGACTGAAATAAGCCCTTCTTGTCAGTAACTGCTTTAAATGTAAACAGATTAAAACTAACCAACCAAAAGGCAAAAACTGGCATAATGAATAGAAAAAAAAATGATCCAACTACACACTTTCTATAAGAAATTAACTTTAGATCTAGAGCTACAAATAGTATGAAATATATTTCAGGTAATACAGTAACTAAACAAGAACTGAGTTAGCTATATTACTAGACAAAATGGACCTCAAGTGAAAAACTATTTCAAGGGACAAAGAAGGATATTACATATCTCTAAAAGGCTCAACTTATCAAGAAGATATAATAATTGTAAATGTATGAACGCCTAACAACAGAGCTCCAAAATGTATGAAACATATTGACAGAAATAAAGAGAAAAACAGTTCTAAAATAATATAATACTTTAAGACTCCAATGCCCTCTCCTTTCAATAATGGACAGAACATCTAGAGAGACAGTCAATAAGAAAATAGAGAACATACACAATACCATGAACTAGTCTTAACATACACATACAGAAACCGTGGAAAGAGAAACCACAAATAAGGGGGGACTACTCTTCATCACATTTTTTTCTGGTTCCCCAGCTTGTGGATAGCAGATCATGAGACTCTTCAACCATTATATGAGCAATTAGGGAATTGGAAATCAAAACCACAATGAAATATCACTTCATATCTGCTAGGATAGCTATAATCAAAAAGACAGACAATAACATACTGTGGCAAGAATGTGGAGAAACTGAAAGCATTTAATGTGGATACATTGAAATTGAATTGAGTATAAAATGGTGCCTCCACCATGGCAAACACTTCATCAGTTTCTCAATATGTAAACACAGAGTTGCCATAGGATCTTGGATATTCTAATCCTAGGTATCTACCCAAGAGAAATGAAAGCATAAATTCTCACACAGCTTATACATAGATGTTCAAAGCAACATTATTCATAATAGCAAAAAATGTGAAAGCAATCTAACTACCTATCAACTGATGAATGGATAAATAAATCATGGAATTTCAATAAGACAAAATATTATTTGGCAATCCATAATAAGAAATTATATACTGATTTGTACTATGACATAGACAATTTTCAAAACCATTATGCTAAGTAAAAGAAGTCAGCCACAAAAGATGATATAGTGTATAATTTCAATTCTATGAAATAAGCAGAATAGGCAAATCTAAAGAGAAAGAAATTAGCTTTGTAGTTGCCTGGTTGCCCAGTGCTGAAGGGGAGAGGAAGGAGTGCAAAAGGGTAATCACTGTGAAGAGGCACACAACTTCTTGTTGGGATAATGAGAACGTTCTAAAATTAGATTATTGGGTTGGCTGCACAACTCTGTAAATATTCTAAAAACTACTGAACATTGAAACACATGTTCTCACTCATAGGCGGGTGTTGAAAAATGAAAACACATGGACACAGGGAGGGGAGTACTTCACACTGGGGTCAGTTGGGGGGAAATAGGGGAGGGACAGTAGGGGTTGGGGAGCTGGGGAGAGATAGTAAGGAGAGAGATGCCAGATGTAGGTGATGGGGGGAAGGCAGCAAATCACACTGCCACGTGTGTACCTATGCAACAATCTTGCATGTTCTTCACATGTACCCCCAAACCTAAAATGCAATAAAATAAATGGGAAAAAAAAACACGTGTAAATTATATATTAATAAACACATTTTTCAAAAAAAAAGATTTATTTTCAAAAAAATAGGTTTATTGAGTAAAAGTCTAATTGAGGGTATCAAGGACCTATGTCTTTTAAATAAATCCTAAGGAAAAAAAATTGTCAAATCAGCAAGCAAAACAGTTGAACAGAACGAGACCTTAAAAATAACTTACAAAATGGTAAAAAAATCAGTTTCGTCTTTGTAAATGGAACTGAAATTTTTTTTTATTAATGTTCCCTTTAATTATGAACATAACACTGAAAGTATACATAAAAATTTCCTTCAGAAAATTCCGGTTCATAAGTAGAATTTACCCCAGACTTAGAAACATGTTAAAATAGGATTCCAATCACATAATAAAAAATAATCCACTGATTCAGTGTTTTTAGTTGTGAGCAGTATAAACTAACTCAAATAATCTTAGTGGAAATAAATTTTATTTTACTTGTTTGTGGGTTTGGTTATTCAGACAGGGTTTACTCTGTGGCCCAGGCTTAAATGTAGTGATGTGATCATAGCTCACTGCAACTTCAAACCCCTGGGTTTGAGTGATCCTCCTACCTCAGCCTTCCAAATAGCTGGGACTACAATCATACACCACCATACCTGACTTTTTTTAATTGTTTTTAGAAACAGGGTCTTGTTATGTTTCCCAGGCTAGTCTTGAACTCCTAGCTTCAAGTGATCCTCCTGCCTCAGCCTCCCAGAGTTCTAAGATTACAGGCATGATGCTATATGAGGAAACTTGCAAACTTTGAGAGCTAGTAAAACAAGTGTGGGGCCCGGAAGTCACTGGCAATACACAAATTACACCTCAGAACCATCGAAGTAGCTACACTGCCACCAGAACTGCTGGGCACAGTCACTGCCACTCACAAAATGTTTATCACCAAAATCATGTGCCTGATGCTGCTGCTGAAATTCTTGCTTTTTCTCCCTCTGGATATTGGATATTCCTGCTACTGCCTCTCCATCCCAACGGGAATACATTCTCCTGTGTGTCTTCTGCTTTGCCTCAGGAATTCTCAATCCAAACCCCAGAGTGTGCATATCAAATTGGTACAGTCTAAGTTAATGCACTTGTACTTAGCTCTAGGACCAACTGAAAATAAGCCTTGGGTTTTCTGCTTGTAAAATGGGAGGCTAGATCTACTTCATAAGACGGAAATTCCCTAAACACATATGCTGAATATTCCACAAGAATGGCAAGTGTCTGTTATAGATACCTTGAGAAAAGAAAATACACCTAAATGTTATGTAGATGTCTTTGGTTAGTAAAATTACAGTTTACAATTTTCCTTTTATTTTTCTGTGTTAGCCATATTTTCCTTAATAAGCATGTACCACACAAGTAATAAAAATTTTAAAAAGCATTATTCTGAGAAAAAAGTGAGCATTCTAATTTAATTGAATTCACAGAAATGTCTTTATTTTTTTCCAGTTATTGTCACTTTGAGTTGCAAGCATTAAAAATAATTGCTACCTGTTTTAAAGTTTAGAATAAGTGCCTATTGATAGGTAGATAATATCACAATTAGGGAAATTAACATAACTACTGTCTAGATATAATGTCACACTCACAGAAGTTTTATATGAATTAAAACAGAACTCCTATAACTTACAAGTCACATAGGCAATGATGAACAGCCCAGTCCTTCCCTAATGAACTTGAGCCTCTACTTTGAGTTTTCAGGACAAAGTGAAGCCCTCTTTTGATTACCTATATCTTTTATTTTTATTGATTTGTTCTTCTCAGTTTGCAGCAAGATGCCCACAGTTTATTCTGAAATGTATTGGAGAGGCTATAGAATAGGATACTACTTCATGAATGCAAAGTCATCAGAATATTGTTATATGTTATGATTTAGAACATATAACAATATTCTGATGACTTTGCATTCATGCAGTAGTGTTCTATTCTATACTAGAAATATCCTCTCTGTACTAGAAATATCCACTGTTGAGTTCCCTCTTCCTCCTATTTTCAAACAGCCTGAGAGTGCATGTATGTGGACAATCCTAAGTGGCCTGAGAGGACAAGTATATTTTAATGAATTCATCTCTGAGCACATGCTTAAACACTAAGATGTGGAAAGCACTTAAACATTTAAAGCTTCAGTTTTGTGCTCTTAAAAGGCAGTGATCCCTGAACACACTCCTTTATTTAGCAGAGGACCATGAATTCTTGGATATGCAAGTATAGTGAATGGAGAGAGTTGGCAGGATGCATGACTGAATTCATTGATTTCAACATACGCAGTCATAGTAACAGCAAATTCCAAGCACCCAAGAA